AACCCACATTTTAAAGCCTTAAAATCAGAGTTCTTAAGAGGCTAAAACTAGCCTTAAAGTAGCATGCAAAGGTGGTTAAGCTATTAATCAAAACAAAGCTTAAAAAGGGTATATGCTTACCCTTGAAGACCCTTGAAGAACAACAGCAAGAATAACAACTTCTCTAAGCTAAAACTAGTCCTAAGACTTCAAAACAAGCTCCAAGGGACCTCAGCTCCAAAATGAAGGTGTTTGACTAGGTGTTTGTGTGCAAAAGTATGAAGAAAACACACTTTAAGACTCAATATAGCACAATATAGAGAGAGAGGGAGAATTCTAGTGAGAGAGGGGCATTTTAGCTCTCTAAAATTTCTGAACCCTGGAAAAGGAGAGAGAGCTCCCCTCATATAAGCAATGCAAGGGCAAGCTTCCTTGACAAGCTTAGAGCTTGTTTGAATCTCTCCATACACGTGTATGGAGGATGCATTCTATGCTCACTAGCTGGCACAGTTGGCACCAAAAATATCTACAAAAGCAGAAAAATGGCCATAGGCCACTTAAAGTGATCAACCGGCCACTTAAAGTGGCCTACAGGGGGAAAAAGTGGCCTACAACCACCAAAATTGGCCGACAGCCTCTCCCCTCCCTCTAGGCAAGGAGTAACAAGGTATGGCACAAAAACAAGCCAAAATGAAGAGATCCAAGAGGCCCCGAGACAAGGCGCTCAGTCGAAAGCCTCCGAAACTAGCCTACTGGCCACCACAAGTGGCTTACAAGAGAGAAAAGTAGCCTACAACTACAAAAGGTGGCCTACAGGCCTCTCTCTCCCTCCAGGCAAAGGCACCAAGGTCTGCTCCAAAAACCAGGCCAAGAAAAAAAGAGTTGAGGTCCCGAGACAAGGTGCACGACCGAGAGCTCCGAAAACTCATAACGAGCACAAACATGCGTAATCACCGCGTGCACAAACGATGACATCTGAGCCTTAAGGTCGGTCAAAAATGGGGTGTCTACACCGACCAAAGAGAAGGGGAGTAGGCATGCAGTTGAGACGAAAAACAGCAGTAAGAACTGCCTCCCCCCAGAATGAAGTCGGAACTAAGGTAGAGAGAAGAAAAGACCTAGCTGTCTCAAGGAGATGACGGTGTTTATGCTCGGCTCAACCATTTTGAGTAGGTGTATCTGTACAGGAAGTTTGGTGAATGGTACCCAAATTGGCCAAATACTCACAGAACTCATTTTTAAAATATTCCCCACTAAGTCAGATCGTAACGCTTTAATTATAGGCCCAAATTGAGTAGTAATCATAGACTGAAAGATACAGTATATTTGATAGAAATCGGACTTATGAGTCATAAGATAAACCTAAGTGTAACGGATGTAATCATCAACAAATGACACATAGTATGCAGAACCTCCCTTGGTAAGAATAGGAGAAGGGCCCTAGACATCAGTATGAACTAAAGAAAATGATGTAGCAGATATAGAAGTATTGTTACGGAAAGGTAAGGCTATCATTTTGGCAAGTTTACACCCCCGATACTCAGTAAGTTGACTAGGAGAAACTTTACCCAATATACTTGACTGAGCTAAAGACCGTAAGCAGTCAGCAGACAAATGTCTTAATCTAGAATGCCACAAATAGAAGGGACTTGACAGAGAATCTAACTGAAAAGAAGAAAAAGCAGTTAGAGAGGTAGTCATAGGCAGATGCAAGCTATCTACCACATAGAGGTCTCCAACTCTACGACTAGTCCCATTCTGCTACTTGGACATCCGATCTTGCACAGAACAGATACAAGAAGAAAAGATAATATCAAAACCAGAGGCATCAAGTTGACTAATAGATAATAAATTGACGAATAATTGAGGAACATATAAGACAAATAGAATAGAGATTGCAGACATAGCAGACGGTAGGGCATACCCAACAGAAAGAAAGATGAAGAGTCATATGGTGAGAGGCACTAGAGTCAAAAAGCTAGATAGACAAAGAGATACTTGAAGAAGACCCAAACAAACCTGAATGAAGAGAGGAAACAATGGAGGCAGATGGAGATGGCTAGAAGGTAGACAGTATATGCTGAAGCTTGCTAATTTGAGCACTCAAGGAAGCCAAGTCACGATCAGGAGCCGTAGCAGATGCAGTAAAATCAATGAGAGGCCAAACAGACAGACATCCATTCTTGAGACAATGGTACTTCCAATGACCCCTTTGATGGCAATAGACACACTCATCAAAAGCTAGAGACATCGTAATAATCAAAGAGATAAGTGGTTCAAGTGTAATAAATCCAAAACAGAACAAATGAGCCAAACTAGGGTCAAGGGTAATAATAAAAAAACTGACTAAGGGGTTAAAGAGTAATAAACCCAAAATAATTAAATCAGAGATTCATGACCCACAAACCATTCGATCAGCCACAAACCAGTCGATCAGAGAGAGAGAGCTAGAGCCAGAGCCAGAGAGAGCCGACCTTCGCGAGGTGAGAGAGAGACCACTTGCGAGAGAGACAGAAGTCGAAGTTGATGCAAACCAGATGTGATAGAGGCAAGAAGTAGAGGTTGCGATATGGGTCAAACAAGTTGCAATGTACTGAGCTTCAGAAATTCGAACAAAGGGCTTGGTGAAGCACGAAACTAGGGTTTTGACTGAGAATAGACCAGATGAAGGTTGTCGATGGTCAATAGTGAGTTGCGAACCAGAAGCGTGGTCAATAGTGAGTTGTCACGACCAGAGACAGATGGAGAAGGAGCCTTGTGAACTTGATTGTGAGTAGGACCTTGCGATGACGAACCAGAATCAGAGAGAGAGCAGTGACGAGAGGCAGATTTCAATGCTAGGGTTCAAACAATGATGACAGGCTCTGATACTATATAAGATTTCTGAATTGTTTTCTGTATATACAAATTATGTATCAATTACATCATGACTAGTTTATATAACCCTAACGACTAATCAAAAATAAAATACAAGAATGGAACCAAAAAAGAAAAATAAAGTCATCACAATAATGCCTAATATATATAAATATATTCTCACAATTCTCTTTAATTCTTCAATTTCTTCATATTGTAGTTGTTTGGATCTTTTTGTAATTAGTGTTTATGCTTCAAAAGAAATTTGTGAAAAATAATGCTATATGCATCAATTAGTATACCAATTAGTGTACTAACAGATAATGTGACTTAATTTTAGAGGTTTTAGGTATTTGTAATTTGTATAATAGGTAAAGTCAATAATAATGTCATAACATATGTTGATATACTAATTGGTGCATGTAGCACCACCGATTTGCTAATGATATGGGATCATATTTTATTGTTTGAATAATATTCTCAGTAATTATTGCTGAATTCATTCTCATTACTGCCTTTTGCTTATAATAATGTTTCCTACTCCATTAATTTTGTGATGTTCTAGTGCACAATATAAAGCAAATCAAAACAAAACATTATACATTGTGATGAACCATGTAATAATGCTTACGGTTTTCTCTCTCTATTAACTTTTTTCCTATTTCATGGTACCATTTTAAGATTAAAAAAAAACAAACACACAAACAAACAAACAAGAAAAGAAGAACAGAATTCGGGTAGAAGAAAATGGCCACAATAATTTGCCATTTCGTGGGTTAGAAGGCATGTCACTGGCTGTTAACAATACAAAAATGACAATGACTTTGCCTTGGTTAGCAATCAAGACTCGGCTCAAAAATGGTGGTCAAGTAAAGAACAGAGAGGACCAAAGTTGAGACCAATTGGTATATCAAAGGAACCATGGTCCAAACCATTTAACATCACTTGACAACTGTGTACTTTCATTTGGGGCGCCTAAAATGTCAACTTATCCATTTTAAAAAAAATCATTTTACCAAAAAATATTAGCTTATTTGTTAAATTCATTTTTCATTAAAAAGATTTAAATTAGCCAAATTTACTTGTGCCAAAAAGTTATTAAATAAACTATGAATGTATCAAACAAATGAATTTTTTTAGCATTAACTTTTTGGGAAAATGTTTAGTGGCCACAAATTCTGTGGCTCAAATGGCCCGAAATTGCCAAAACGACGTCGTTTTGCATCATTTTGCACCAAAAACGACGTCGTTTTGGATGTTTTGAGCTATTTGAACCACAGAATTTGTGGCTCCCTAGGATTGTGCAAGTATATTTTTAACCAATAAATTAGTTTCCTAATCAGTACATCCGAGTAGAATAAGGCAAACATGAAAAAGGAGAAAATGGGTTAAATCTTAAGAGTGAATGCAACTAATAAGCCCCACCATTCGTTTCTGACCCCAACCTTGAAAGATATTTTATGTAGTTTTTTTTTTTTTTTTTTTTTTTTTTTTTTTTTTATGTAGTTTTTTTTTTTTGTTTTGTTTTGATTTTTTTTATTTATTTTTAATACACCACTAAACACCAAAATTATTCTCAATCCTCTCAAACCCTAACCCTAACCCTACCTCCACCCCACCTAACACCCACCACCACCTCTCACCTTCTCCATCCCCTTTTTATTAACTCTGGTGAAACAGTTGGAATACTATTTTCATTACAAAAATGCTAGAGGCCCCAAAAATTTTACCAAATGTCTCATATGGTGTGGGACCCACATGGGACCCACATTGTGTAGGTCCCACACCCATGTAGGTCCCACACCCATGTGAGACATTTGGTAAAATTTTTAGTAGAATATTTGGGGCCTCTAGCATTACTCTTTTCATTAAATTTTCATCAAACTTAAATTTGATAGAAGATATGAATCTGAATTAAAAACTGTCTTATTAGCAACATCATTTAAGAGTAATAAAAAATGCATGTATGAGTACTTGTGTTGTGCGCGTGTGTATACATTGGAATTGGAATTGGAATTGAAAAGGCCCACTTACAGATTGGAGAGTCAAACCTGGATCTTATCAAACCTGGCCCCCTCCTAGTAAGGTAGGAGAGTTACAGCGAATTGTGTTAATCCCATTGGTCACGAAGTGAACCAGTAATGTTTGTAAAACAAAATTAAAACTGATCCGCAGACTTGTTCAGTTTTGTTTCATATATCTTCAAATATGGCAGGCCAATAACCAACCATAAAGAAATCATACAGGGCAATAAGTTCATCTCCATTCAAATGACCCATATATAAATATATATAATATAACAGAAATATTGTTGTTTTAACAAATGTACTACCCTACATAAACCCTTCCAATTTCTTTTTCAAACTATCTAACTAATGTTGACAAACAAATCACATGCAACTGCAACAAGGAAACAACTTCCCCTACTAACCCTCGACAAGCCCCTTTACATATCTTTGTGAGCTTCATATCATGTCTTCATATGATATACCACCAAGCACAATTCACCAAAAAGTAATCTCAAGCAAATTGCCGCCTCATATATGTATCTTCATGCACAAAAACTGGAGTTTGAGTGTTGGGTGGAGGGTACGCTTGAGCAGTCGGTGGAGGGTACGCTTGAGCAGTCGGTGGAGGGAAAGCTTGAGCGTTTGGTGGAGGGTGTGGTTGTCCCATTGCAATGCCACTTTGATTAGGAGGAGGTCCACCCCATGATGAATCATTGCTGTCTTTTACCGAATTCAAGGCAAGATAATAGGCAATTCCAAGAATAACACTCGCAAGGGACAGGACGGCAGCTCCAGCAAAGACTCCGGGCTTCACAACATAACAATAGTAGTTGCCAAAATACATAGTCTCTTCACCGTGTTGATCATTCAGTGCTGCACCAGTCAGTAACAGAAGGAATGCTATGACAAATGTGAACCTGTGTGATGATGTTTTCATCAGCTTACATAAAATAGAAATATCACTTGTCGAATCCAGAATTATAGCAGAGTGATCACTTGCCTAGCAAATATAATATGAAAGTAGAAATAAGAAAGGAAAATGTAAAAGAAAAATAAGTAAAATTGTCAATCTCAAAAGAAGAGTTTCGGGAGATGATCAAAAACTTACGCAGACAAACAATTTACTTGATCTGCAAGAGTCCTACAATGATAACCCACTGGACCAGGAAGAGTATTTGGGTACCACAAACATTAACACACAAAATTGAGTTCCGCTAATCACTTTTTGTCATATAACATACTAACGCACAGTTTAACACATCCATTGTGGATGCTGTTAGAACTGGGAATCTTAAAGAGAGAGCCTGCACCCACCTAGACTCACCAAATGAGAAGATCCAACTACTATACTTGATGCAACAATGGTTAACCCAAGTCCTAATAGCCTCTTTAACAAATTTCCACAATTTATGCATTATATTGTTATCATTAGACTTTTGACCAAATACAAACCATTTGGACATCTTTGTTAAAACTGGTGACTCATGAAAAGAAGGCACCATTTGCAATACAGACAGTCCAAAATCTGTATTGCCTTATCCAACTGCCGGGGAAGGGGATGGTGATGGCACACCAACCCATTGATAGACCCATAAATAGCTAGGCTGTCAGTGAAGTGTACCGGTGCTGTTTGGTGCAGCTTATTGTAACCTAAAAACTGATAATCAGAAAGCAAAACCCAAAAACATCCCTTCCCTATCTTTTAAATAATCAGATTTTCTCAGCATATTTAAGCTATTTCTGCCTAAAAAGCTATTAGCAAAAGCTACACCAAACAGTCTGGCACAGATTAATCCATTGATAGACCCACAAACAGCTAGGCTGTCAATGAAGTATACCGGTGCTGTTTGGTGCAGCTTATTGTAAGCTAAAAATTGATAATCAGAAAGCAAAAACCAAAAGCACCCCTTTCCTAGCTTCTAAATAATCAGATTTTCTCCGCATATTTAAGCTATTTCTGCCTAAAAAACTATAAGCAAAAGCTGCACCAAACAGTCTGGCACAGATTCCCAAATTAAAATAAGCTATAATTAGCCCCTATAATCCACACCAAACACCCCCACTCTAATTTAGACAGTTTGGTGCAGTTTGTCCATATGCATTTATTCATTCAAGGAACACATTCAAAGCAGTACATTTGGAATATCAAATTTATCACCAAGTCTAAGTTGAGAATTACCATGACACAACAAAGCAGATCAGAGCTACTGTCCAATTAGAGTTTGATTGGTGAGGACCTCTTCTGCAACAAATACATCCAGTTGTGACATTGATGATAATTTGAGCAACCATAAGAGCCAGTGCTGCAGTTAATCCAAGACCAAAAGCTGGACTGCTGGGGTAATTGCACGTAGAAGAAGAGTCCGACTGAACCTGAGAACCCTGCAAAAAAGAAAAAAAAAAGAAAAAAGTAAGATGAATAGCAGCTGAAACCATTGAACATTGCTTTCACCATGGAGACCAAAGACCTCCATAGGCTAATAACAAGCAATAGAGACCAATGCAAATGGAATTACTCCACAGACAATGTACAAAATACTAACCTCTTAGCATGATAATCCATAACCATGTCAAGAACTGTTCAATTCCAAAACATAAAAATGGATAAAAACCCACACAAAAACAAGCATGCAGGCACACACACAAGTTGACACGAATCAATGCTCAATCAACTTGTGAATAAAATCAACCAAGGTTCAAGAATGTCGTTAAGATATATAATATATTATTGACAAAATAATTTGCAGTTTACCAGCAAAAGCTACTGACATTATCAGAGGATATTTCAACATATTCTCATAAAGGGATAATCACAACCACGTCTACATAGGACATGAATTAATATGGGATTGGCAATGATATGAAAATTGCCATTACTCATCATCATAGGCTCTACTAATCCAAGGTATTGGGAAGGTGGAGTAGGTTTAGACATCATGCTTTATACCCTTGACACCCTCAGTGTCAAGCATGGAACACAATCAAAACCAAAGCATAACACTCTTTCGAACACCATGTTGGATACTCTTTTTACATGTCTGTAATTAAAAATAAAAAGACTAATTTCGGACATGTGTCTGAGACTCATTTTGCCTTGTCACTTCTTGGCCATGTCAGTAAAATATAAACATGAGACCAACCCTCCTTGGACATTTGCCAATGAATGATTTTTAAAGTTTGAGAATTTGGCATATTATACCTTTAAAAATATGTATAATTTTTAAGAATACATAACATATAATTCTTACATAACATATAATTCTTAAAACATTAAAAAAAAATTTGCATAAGATGATGGCTTAAGAGGATGAGAGAGATGTTGCAATTATATATGTTTGCTATAGATACAAAATTTACTTAGTATAAAGTAATTATTTAATTTAGTTTATATTATGCACATATATAATTATATAATTTAATATACTCATCATAAATAATTTAATATCAACATATAATAATTTGTGGTGTCTAAACCGTGTCCATGTCCTACTTTTTTTTGGAATTTTCCATGTTGACATGTCCATGTCATAATAGTGTCCCCGTGTCTCTGCTTCATAGGGTTTCACATTACAAATGATTTTATTTTTTATTTTTTGAGATTTTCTTTAAATAGAGGTAGTCCTAGATAAAAATTTAGTTTCGGTTTCTGGTACTAAATATCTAGTTGAAGGATAACCCTGAAGAGATTGAGTGTCATCACTAAACTTTGTATAATAGGCTACTTCTGGTGGATAGGGCCTATTGTTGTGGTACATGTGGAAGGCGACACAGCTGATGAAACTTGCAAGCCAAAAACAGAAGATAACCAGAAATACAAGTTTGTTAAAAGGTAAACCTTGCTACTTTGTAAGTGAGAATCTCTAATAGAGGTTATAGGCCATAAGTAATGTAGTTATATAATTCATAGTATCAACAAACAATGTAGTGATTACTGGATGGTAATGCAAGAGAAAATAAGTTGATTTCAAGAACAATACAATGTCAAAAGCCAATAAGTAAACAACACGGTGGGCAAAATGCAATATTAGTCTGTATGGTGTTCAGCGTAACCAAGAAAGTCATTATAGGTTATTCTAGGGATTGCTTACACCATATAACCATACAGGTGGATTAATAAAGAATCAGTCAAGACAGATAATTAAGCAGATGATCAATTAGTAGAATGTTTGAATTAATGTGGAATATTTCATGTAACCTTCCGTAAAAAGGTATTGGGAATGTAAATGGAAAGGAGGGCCAACAATGGTAAAATTTCATTGAAAAGTTTAGCTAGTAAAGGAGTGCCTACACACTTTTAGTAACAATACCAATGATAAAAGAAATTAATTAATTCAGTAAAATTGAAAATCTGACGCAAGCATCAATTCTAGAAAAATTCAACATATCAGAAGTTATTCACCCTGAATAGTATAGAATTTTGAAAGCATACAGAAAAAAGATTATGATGCAACGTAAATACCCAAAAAAAAAAATTGGAAGCCTCATTCCCACATAATTGAATAGGCACTTATCCAAAATCAACAAGCACATGAATTTCATACGGTTGTAAGAATATGTTTGTGCACTAATTTCGGTGTCATAGCTAAGGCAACCTCATCAGCTCCCAATGCCTGGGTAACCTTACACTTCCACTTAAAAACTTATTTGTTGATGGTATGTAACTACATCTTAGACCTTTGAAGGAACATGCTCTCATCTCTCCAACCTTTTGGCCTGCCAAAACCCTTTCACTCCTCAAACAAGGGCATAGTTTTGTGTACAGTGCAAAGTACATAATGGTCAAATTTTGTGTGAGGAAGTTCCCGAGTCACCTTGTCTTGCAACCAATTTCACTAACAAAGTTCTGCTCCTGGTAACATAAAACCTCAAGCAGTATGGTGCATACAAACAACACTATTGATTAGCAACTATTATGAAAAAGCAAGGCAACCCCGTTGTCACGACCCGAACCCGCCCCCATGGGTTAAGGACGTAACCGGCCAGTAATCCTAAGATTACCTCCGGCCTCAGACCAAAACGGACTTAAGACATCAGAGTAAAGGGGCCAAATGGAAGTAAAAATTTAAAACTTTGTCCATAGAGCCGTGCTTATATGCACATCAAACAAACCATACTCAGATCCGTTAATAACCCACATCAAAATACAGTTTCACAAAATTCATTACAAACAGGATCATCCAAACGAGTCAACCTATGACAGACTATGTACAGACATACACTAGGCCCTTGCCAACAAGACAAAACATAAGTACATAATGAAAGGGCAAGGATGGACTCATGCGTGAGGCACAAGGCTGACTCTCCCAAAACTCATGTTGTCCCTAGCAGATTTCACTGGGGTTGGGTTTGTGCTTCTCTTGGCTCACCTACAAACACATGAATGAGTGTGAGCGATAGCCCAGTGAATAATATCAAGTATGACAATCACATAACAACATGTAGAACAACATGCTCTAAACGGCCTTGGGCCCAATTCATGCTTCTAATTAGCAAAAATATTTGATTATACGAAATGTAAATCAAGTAACTGTAGTTCCAACGTTCTGGCCTTTGGCCCATTCGGGTTTCCATTCATGGCAAAACGGCCTTCGGCCCATTCACTTATACCGAAACGGCCTTTGGCCCATTCATTTCTGTCAAAATGGCCTTCGGCCCATTCATTCATGTCAAAACGGCCTTTGGCCCACTCGTTCATGTCAAACGGCCTTCGGCCTACTCATTCATGTCAAAACGGCCTTCGGCCCACTCACATGTGTCAAAACGACCCTTGGTCCATTCATTTACATCAGGACGACCTTTGGTCCATTCATTTATATCAGGACGACCTTCTGTCCACTCATTCACATCAAAACGACCTTCGGTCCATTCATTTACATCAAAACGACCTTCAGTCCATTCATTTACATCAAAGCGACCTTCGGTCCATTCATTTACATCAAAACGACCTTCGGTCCATTCACTTATATCAAAACGACCTTCGGTCCATTCATTTACATCAAAACGACCTTCGGTCCATTCATTTACATCAAAACGACCTTCGGTCCATTCATTTATATCAAAACGACCTTTGGTCCATTCATTCATATCAAAACATCCTGTTAGACGTTTGTCCACAATCCCAATTAATAAACTCATAAAGTTTATAAGGCGAATAACAATTGACATTGCAAGCTTTCGAATATCGATATTACTCACGAGATCGCGCTTGTGGATCCCCTCTGGAGCTTGACCCTATCTACATTCCAGCATCACAAAGGTCATTAACAATTCAATCCGTCCTTAATTCACATATTCCTCTTAGGCTTTATTCTTATCTCATTAACTTCATTTATAATGTAACATCGCCTAAGATGATTACAAGGAAAGAGACGGAAAACGAAACATCAGAACGCCTGTGAACAAAATCCAGAAATTAGAGTCCCCTCGAGCGTTACTTACCCGCATCGAGCGACCCTTAAGCCTGCAAAATTACTGTTGCCATGAAAAACGCCCAGTCTGTAATAGAGCGCTCAGCCTGAGTACCTACCACGCTCGAGCGTGAGGTTTCCCGCTCGAGCGGACATCCAACTCTGCAAAAGTGCTGGGAGCACGATTTTCCCGCTCGAGCGGCCATTACCCCGCTCGAGCGGACATCAAAATTCTGGGTTTCCCAGATTGTGTTCTTGAGCTCCAAATCGGTTTTCCAGCTACATTACTTGCATGTAATGGCTCAAATTACACATTTACACATGCTAACATGCTACTGATACAAGATTACAACATCAGGAAGCTCAATTTCGAGATTTATCTACATGCATGTCCCAAAATGTCTCAAACCCATCCTCAACATGCCCAAATTCAAACATTCAAGACTTATACTCCCGTGATTTGTACATGCATGTGATGGATCAGCCACATTCTCAACTTAGATAACACAAATGGTGATCAAGACATGAGTTCCCTTTAGTATTTCACATGGGTTATACACATTTGTGCTCAAACATGCAAATTTCAAAGTATTTCTTACATGCATGCACATATTAAGCTTCAATTCAACAAACACAACTCAACTTCATTACAATCTTGTTCTTGATCACCAAGATAGCTTGGATATGCACAAATTTACAATTATAAGCCAAGAATTACTCACCTAGAGGCTTTGATCTTCTAAGCTCTAGTCACTTCTTGAGCTAAATCCCCAAAATTTCCAAGCTTTAAGCCAAATTGCACAATTTCTCTCCCTTTCTCTCACTAAGGCCGGCCCTCACTCTCTCACAATTGAATCCCTCAGATTCTTGAGTTCATAAGAGTTAAAGGGAAGTGTAGTGCAATCATACAACAAGCCCCACTAATATAATATTTAAATATAAAATATTTGGGCACTTAATTCATCAATTTAATCA